CTTTGTGTCCAGATTTCACGATACCTTTCTATTTCCTTATAATCTTTGTACCAACAACAAACTGATGGCCAACTAAGGAAATATATCACAAAATTTAGGACTGAAAACTCCATTTAAATGTACAAAATTCCAATATGTCGTCCATATAAAAGAAAACGGTGGTGATTGAAGTCGACAGAGGAAACCTTGAATTGAAAACTTGACTACGCCATCTTGTAGAGAAGAAAAAGTTACAATGAGAACATGTTATTTTCTTTGCAATCCCGTCTTAAGTAAGTACAGGTAAAATAAAAAATCATTTTGCGAGAAATCTGGAATACGAAACAAACGATTATTTGATAATTTCAAGGCCTGCCTAGGAAATTCTGCTTTTTTTAAATAACTAAGGTTTGACAACGTCAATGTATGACATATACTAAGTGACATATAAATCCGAACACCCAGTTTAAATGGTTTTATTTTAATAAAATTTTGTATAAGTACTTAATGAAGCATAATAAGTAAATGATAAACATTTCAAAATGATTGCACTGCTGTAAAGTCCTTTGACCTTTAATAATGTGTGGATGCACCCTGATCAGGTGGTCAATGTCCTCCTGTGGTATCTCATTCCAGGCAACCACCAACTCCTCTCGAAGTGCTTCTAGAGTCTGAGGAGGACGTTGAAAATTGAGCAATCTCCTACCCATCATATCCCACACGTGCTCAATTGGGGATAAGTCGGGAGATCTTGGTGGCCATGGTAACAATGTGACATCATTATGTTGAAAGAAGTCTATTGTGTCTCTTGCAACATATGGTCGGGCATTATCTTGTTGGAAAGTTGGCACGACCATCGTGCATGCCTAAACAAAATCGAGACTCGTCACTAAAGACAATACTGTTCCATTCCTGATCCCAGAGTGACCGTTGTCTGCACCACTCAAGGCGATTACGTCGGTGTTCTCGAGTTAAAGGGAGGACCCAGTGTGCAAACCATTCATTTGCAATGGACTTGGTAGTGGAGAAACGGTCCCTTAAGGCCAATAATCTTAGGCGGCGATCTTCATGGTCTGTTGTTCTACGGCGGGGTCCAGTGCCCCTTGCTCTTTGCGTACGGCCTTCTCGAAGCCATGCCTGACAACACCTAACCACAGTGTCTACACTTCTTTGCACTCTAACTGCAATTGCCCGAAAAGAAAGTCCAGCTTCCCGAAGTCCCACTATACGGCCATTATCAAACTCACTAAGTTGACGAAATCGTACAGGTCTCCGTACTCTAGGCATCGTAACCGATCGTAAAGGATGTCAAGAACCAAAATCCGCCAACGTTGATTCTTTACTGCGGCTGAAATATTCATTTTTAGAGCGTTATTGAATTAAAAAAAAGCAGTATAAAAACCGGAATGTCCAACTGATAAGGCTGAAAATTTTTTCACTTGTTATTTACAGTAAGATAAATACATTCACCAACTTTTATTAAAATGAAACCATTTAAACTGGGTGGTCGGATTTATATGTCACTTAGTATATTATAAACTTTTGGAATCGGAATTAATTAACTCTATTTACCTGTGCATAAAACCAATATGGCCTCCTTGAAAAATAAAGTTGATGCTGGAGAACAAGACACGAAACGTCTTATAGAGGGGAAAAAGTGGCAATGTTAAAGTTCAATTTATTTTGAAATCCCACGAGAAATGAAGTCAAGAAAACATTTAAACGACTTTGGACAAGTACTTTGAGTTTTGAAAATTCTTAGGCGGCATTTTGTTAGCTGGGCCAAAATACTTTTCGATGCCTAATTCCAGATGTAGTTTAGGAAAAAAACTGGGAAAATCAATATGATATTTTCTTATAATTTATGGCAGCTACATCTTGGTGATAGTTTGTTCCATGCTATGGTTACATTTGCAGCGAACTTTTCAATGAGACTACAATGATTTTGGCAGTTTATGTAGGAAGTGGTGGTGAAATCAAACAACAGCGTTACTTTACTACAAAATGAAATTTTATTTTCGAACATCGCTGCTGAGCTCGCTACTCTGGCGCCCTTGAACTGTACCACTAATACTATCCTCCCATTAAGTAATATCACAGAACTGATCAGTTCAAAGAAATATTTGTTATAGTTAGACAACTACGTTACTAATGTCGTATTTATAGACATAAACTTATATAAAATAACAACAGCAAAAATCGTATACTAAACCAAAATAGGGCGATAAGCTTGAACTTTTGGTGAAAAACAGGTACATATGGAATCAAGACAATTTTCACTTACAAGAAACGCAAACATTATTCTTAATGCTGTTCAAAACTGGGGACAAAATGGTAACGCAATGGTAACCACAGTAACAAAGTGGTATCATACTCACATCACTTTATGCCTTCATAAAGTAGATCTAGTAGGCTCAAAAATTAACTAAAAATGAACTTCCCAGGCCATAACGCAATATAAAATAACATAACTGTAAGTTATAAACTTCATTATCGTACAGTATATACTTCGAATGATTTGCACAACCATAAAGTAACAAAAATAATTCAACATCTTAAAAACTATTAGGCAAACGTACATAAGTTTTATTTTCAAAAACGTTCAATGGTTCGTCAAACTCGAAGAATGCTCGTTTACCTTCATGACCAGTTTAGGATTAGGAACGATTTGTAAGATATGGTCATAAGGTTCGTAAATATATCAGTCTCGACTGCTTTAAAAATTTTAGCAGTACAATCTCCAGTCTTATAAAACATGACCTTGACGTCTCCCTCTTCATCAACAGTACTTTTAGCCACTCCCAGGTAAGTATAATGTTTGTCTTTAACGGAAGAAACTTTAACTAAAACGTAAACACCATCTGATATCTTCTATGGATGACCGTTTTCCTTATCTATTAGCTGTTTTTCTTTCACGTTAGACACAGATGGCTGGTCCAAGTTTGCAAGAACCTCTTCGTCAGAGCTAGAAGATGGGGAGTAAACCATGCTGTAGTAACTTCTTCTAGATTCGGTAGGGACATTGGATATATCGGCTAGTAGTTCTTTGTTGTTCAATCCATCTGCATAACTCTTTTCTGTAGAGTTGCTGATTTTGCCAACGACTGGAGTAGGAAGTGGTCCGATAGGTTTTTGGAGCCAAGCATAAGCAAAACCCTCTTTGATAGAACAACTAAGATGTCTCTATATTTAATTCACCTGGAAGTATCAGTGAAAACTTGATGAACCTGCATAGTACCCTGGAGTGTACTACATTTTTTGGTACAGTTTTTTCGACATTTTCAATGTCATTATCAGTCACCAAGTAAAGACGGACCTTGCTCGAGTTCCTCAATGTGTGGAAAAAAGTTTCTGAATCAGAATATCTGAACCAGTCGCTACCTTTTATCTGCAGTGCGTTTAAGGTAACCACCATACCATCAGCGGCACCTTTGCCGTGACCTGCTTCAAAAGAAGTTCATGTGACGCGATCGAAGTTGTACTTGAATATTTCCGTACATATGAAATAGAAATTTAGTTTCTGCCTGTACTGAGTAGCAGGACCATCGGAGAAGAAATGGATTGTTGTTATATTAGAATGTACAGTTTTTAAATTGCTAATAACTGGATGGAGGTGTGCCCAAATAGACACGGGAGTGTGAGAGTTATTTCCAGAGATTGGTACAAAATGACATTATCGTCGGTTTGTCCTCTCCTTCTGTTTTGGTGTACATAACTCCAGTATGTAATGTAAACTGCTTCCGCGAGCCGCCAAAATGATGGCACTGCACTTTTTCAAAACATTTGCAGCTATAGTTCTCGCTGAAATCGATGTGTAGAACGATTTCATCACTCTTCAAATTATCTATAGCATCTCTATAACTCCTATACTGTGTTTTTATGTTAAACATATGTTTTTTCAATTCTCTCAGGGTTTTATTAAACCTTCCTATTAATTCTGGAACAGTCCCTTCAACAATTGATGGTAGAATAGATATATAATCTAAATCTCGCCTCCTGTAAGAATATTACAAATAAAAGACGTTAATTAATTATTATTATTATTATTATTAATTTCTTTTACGTTTTTGTAATCTTCACTTTTTTACTTGACCTCTCTATCACTTCACACTTTCTAACTCACTGAGGCCATTTAACTGATTGTGAGTGAAGGTCATTCCGTATATTACATACTATTTGTTTAGTATTGCAGTCTCCACAGTTGCCGGTCATGCACGCTCTTCTATTTGTTGAGCATGCTAAGCTTGACACGAGGTTGCTCATATTGGAACAGGAATGATTTTGTTTTTATGGAGAGCATTTATTATATACTGGGTGTTAGTGTGTAACTTGCATAGGCAAGTTTCTCTACCACCAACTGTAGGCGGCTTTACATACAACGGTCGATGTCTTATGAAGTATGAATATGAACATCTCTCACCTATAAACTCTTTCTTGAATGAACAGTAAAGGTTTTTCATTGTGTCCAGTAAATATCGTTTTTGACTTTTTACTTTTTGTAGGTTACAGTTTCTCGCTTTTCCGCTGTAGCTCTAGAAACATCATCGCGATTAAAGAACTCCTTGATTTTTCCAACAAGGTCCGATTTCTTAGAGAGAGTCAGCTTTCGTTTTAGCTGGTCAATGCCCAAAGTCTCACGCACAATAGCAGTCTTCATTTTTGACTTTGATATGGCTTCTCCGTGGAAAACTTGTCTTAGAGCTCTCTTTTCTTTTACTGTTGTCAGTCCTTTGTAATGAACCCTAATAGCATTTGATAATGTAGAATATTTATTGTTATCAGGATTGATCCTAGGCTGTCTAGCCCTTTGATACCTCTTCTTGTACTCATTACACTTCTTTTTCAGTCTTTCCAGTTCTTCCTGTAATTTCACATTCTGTCTATATAACGCTGATCGGTCGCGCCTCACCCGTTTCCGGCCTCTACACCTGGGTGAATCTGGAGTTCCTGAACGTGGTGTGGAAGACGGCGTGTTTTCTACCAGTTGCTGTGCAGCTTTTTGTCGTTCTCGCCGTTTCTTATTTGCAATCTTCCATCTACGTTTAGCAGCTCTATGCTCTCGTTCAGTAATATCTTTCACTAGTTGTTTTTTTTGGCGTGGCATCTTTCAAGGTGTTTTCTTTTAGCTTCATCATTTTTTACGGGGTCCAGCTTCAACTTCAGCCTATACCGACGCTGCTTTTCCGCTGGTGTCAGAGCCATTTCGTTGATAAGCTTCTTTCTAAAATCAAAGGAGTGTCGAATGGGTATTTTGGTTCCACTAGTGCACCTAAAACAGCGGTGTTACTAGCGGAACAACTGCGTTACTTTTTTTGGTAGCGCAGTGTAGCAGTAACGCAGTGGTCAATTTTTGATTATTTCATTTGTCTGCACTCAATCACACAACCCAAAGCAATTTCATTATCGGCATTGGAGAATATACCTAACTGACTATGTAATCACAAATTCATAATCAAATATCAGCTTTACTTACATTTCTTTGACGGTAACTCAGCATTCGCACAATAAACACACGCATCTCTTATAATGGCTGTCAAGCGGCTACTTCAATTCGCTGAGTCAGCTTATCTAACGGCCACTGCTCGAATTAATAGTCACATCAAGTCAAATGGAATGAGGTACATGTTTTAGCGATACACTTATTTTAAGTTCTATTTTCACATAGAAACTCAGGGTAGTTAAGATTTTGTGCTTTGCTGGGGACACAATATAAAATATTTTTTATTTCGTTTCACGTTCAAAGTAAATCGTATCTATTGGAGCCCTAAACAAGGTTGAATGAAGTAGTTTTGAGCATAATTTTCATGAAGGCCATCTAGCAGAGAATACGCGAGGCTGGTCTCTATATCATGAGACTGATGTGTAGGGACAGTAATATTTTGTATGGAAAACTACTGCGTTACTGGAAAAGACAACAATGTTACTAAAATTTTCCAATAAATATAAAATTTTAGTTAAATTTCATGTTGTAGTTTGATTAACCCACAGTGTTATATTAACGAATCACTGTCATTTTTGTAAAAATTGCTTACGGTTCGCCCAAAAAGTAGATTACATTTCAGGGGACCGATTTTTAGGCACACAAAAGTATTTCAGCCCAGCTACCTAAATACGCAAGATCCTAATTTGTATTTATTATACATTAAATAACATCACAAATTTTCATGAGTCATTCAATGTTAATAACTAAATAATTATATTTTATGCTTTTTAGATTCTGCATCCACATCTTTGTACCTATTCATCACATATTTGAACAGCCCTCCTTCTGAGATTTGACAGTGATCTAACCTATTGTAGGAGCCTGTACGAACATTTTCTATATATTGGCAACGCGACATATTGCACGATCTTCTGCGTTACCGTTGCTAGGCTATGTGGTGATGACCTTCGCCGTTCAGCCGGCTTCTATCTCTTTCTAACATGTCTGGATAGATACTTCTCAGTCTTCTCTCTCGTACACATTGAGCTCAAGTCATCAGACAAATTTGGCTTTCCATGTATAAGAGAATTGATATTTCTCGTAGAAAATCGAACGAGATGAAAGAAGTATATTCGAGTATTATATGGAAGATCGATTTAAGACCTTAGAAGTCAGCTTTAAGACATTTTTTACAATGATATTCTTGACAACCATCCGAAAATATCTGGCAGACAAATCTAGTAGACGCAAAGATGTGTTGCTCATAGAAGAAACCGAGACAGCAGGTATAGTAGGGCCAAAAATAGAAGCTTATTAAATATAAAGGTATTTACACAAAAGCAGTGCCTTTGTTACACAATTGAGATATTTTTTGATCCGCAAGTCACGTCTACAGGGTCTTAATTAAGTATGTAACATTAATTTGAGTAATTTTAAGAAAAAAAGTTCATATAAACATAGGTCCGCTTTTTCTAAAATGTTCTTCAAATACCTACCTAACCCTAAGAGACCTGTAAACAAAAAAATTGTTGTAATCCATTCATTTTCACTGGATGTTCTTTTTTATACGTGACTTAGTATAAGGTACCCGGGGGTAATAAGGCCCGCCTAAGAATTATAATTAATATCTACGAGAGAAATTTGCTTTTTCAACTTTTATTATTATAAAAAATAGAAAAGGGTATAAACTAACATAATGGTAATGTTTGAACACAAACTAATCATGCTTATATGTCGAGACGCGAACATTAAAAAAATTGTCTTCTTGGCCTTAAAACCTGTAAGTGCATATAATAAGGCCCATATTTAAATGAACAAAAAACAAGTCCAACGAATAAACAAAACACAAAAAAAATCAAAAAATTAAAAGAACATATTAAATAATGATATCCAGACATATATATATATATATCAAAATATCTCTTTGGGCCTTAATATCTGCAACGACATATAAGATTTGAATGAGAGATAAAAAAATAACAGTTCAATAAAATACTGATAGAATAAAAAATAAATGTAACACACTAAAAAAACAGTATCAAAGATAAAATATGGTATTAACTATAAATCTAATACTTAAGGCATACAGTTTGGACACAAAAATTTTCAGTATCGTCCGCAGTCAAACCAGCACAATCCTCATGGACCCAAAAACCACAAGAAGCACATCGTCTCATATCTGCTACATAGTCTTCGTAGCAAATCACACAGTGCCATTCTTCGTTATGTTCTTTTGTTTTTGATGCAATGGAAGACACAGATTCAGATGGCGATTTAGCGGTATTCGATAAGACTGGAACGGGATCAAGTTGAGACTCCACCTCCTTTAAAATACGGATCGCTTGACTTCAACTGCTTTGTAATTTATAACTTTACGTCTTGGACAGATTTTTTTTGACTAGATCTGGTGTTGGTAACACTTCCGCGAAGGAATTATTCAAAGGGATTAATTTTTTACGCAATTCACCTAAAGGCAGGTAGTCATCTGAATCATATTCCGAATCATTGGCAGCGGCGGTCGTCTCCTGGTAAGGTTTCTCAGTTGCAAGACTTGGGGCAAATGCTTCAATGGGAAGAACATCCTTATCATAAGGGCATATTCCCGTAGCTCGAAAGCCGCTTGTAATATTTCCAATGGACATTGCTTTCTGCCATGTAGGTGTGTAAACTTCAGAAAATCTTTCCCTGTTTCAATCACGTGTAGGATGTTTATCCCAGTACTTTAACAATTCATCGTCCCAATAAGCTTCAAATGCTCGAAATATAGCTTTGTCTATCGCGCTGAAGCTCACGTGTGGTGTTACTCGGCAACAATATAAGTGAATCTCATGAGCTTCTGCTTTCTCAGCAATGCTAATATCCAAATGGCATTTGGCCCCATCAAAATTAAAATTACTGGCGGAGGCGACATGTATTCAATGAAATGGTCTAACCACTTATCAAACGTTTGTATCGTCATGCTCCCTTTAGGCGTCATCATAACTTTTGAGCCAGCCGGTAAGCCATCTGAGTAGGTTGGCTTCATTCTCTTGCCCTTAAAAAGAATGACAGGCGGTATGGCATGTCGAGAGCATTAGCGCAAGCGACGATAGTTGCGTTTTCGGCGTGTTCATGAAATTACATGCACTCGTTTTGCTCCTTTGGCTGCCAGAACGTTTTTTGGTGGTGAAAAGTCAAGCGGCAACCCATATTATAAATTTTTGCTTCTTTATTTTTTAACTGAGTGCGCTCCAACAAATCTCCTATTTTTTTGAAATGATCTTCTACGATAAAACGATTTAATTTTTGGGATCTTGCTGGATTCATGAATTGAGATCGACGTTCTGATATTCTCGGATGATTTTGAGAAAAGTCCTTACCCACTTCCTACCGACGAGTTTCCTGATTGAAACAATGCTTAATTTTCTCTTGCTCAACATACCTGAACACAGACCTTCTTAATGCTTTTGGTGTTAGCGGAAAACCTTTATCGGCTAGCCGAATTTTTTTTATCAAGGGTCAGTCTCTTCAGTATCGGTCAAAATTGTTTGTCTACCTAGTTTTCTCTTCACGCTTTGTGATTTAATGTGGTTCCTAAGTGTTCGTCTGGGTATTCCGCATTTTTGTCCACCCAGCGCTGAGATTT